AGATTTAAGAGTAACAGAGAAGCATGAATGAATTCGAAAGTTTAGTAATAGTTTCTTATAGCTAATATTTTTGTTTAAGCTGGTTTTCAGTTATACCAATTTTTTATGAAGATAAAGTGAAGAAGTCGTGTTGTAGTTAATTTATAAAAAAATCACAAAATGTGCAGGGATGTTCGATCTTCAATCATAGTTTTTGGAGCACAAATTTTACCGAACAAGAATATGGATTTATATTTCATAGAAGCTGCTTGGCAATAATTTAAATATTTTGGGGACCGTAAAACTGTAATTTGCCTTAATTTTAATAGTGTGTCAAAAAAAACAACTCCATTTATTGAATGGAATTTCTACACATTTCGAATGTCTAAATATCGTAACGTCTACGAAGGCGGTGAATCACTTGAAAACTGTTCAGTTCAATGAAATTCATTCACCGATGACGAACAATAATAATAATTTACAAATCGTTCTATTTACATTCTTACGAGGCGAATGAAAGAGATAACAAGGCAGGCTCTTTCTTTTAGCTGATAGTCATCGTGTGCTGAATGAATGAGTAGTCACAAGTCGGTAGCGATGGATAACGGACGTAGGCATTCGCTTCTTGTGTTCGCGCTCTTTCGCGCGGATAGATAACCGCGAATTAGGGCCAGACCTCACGAATTCTATTTTTAGTCTGTACGTTCAGTCCGTCTCTTTCGGTCGTAATGCATTACCTTCATTGATGGAAACAGTTGATTGTTTACATTGTAGTGCAGTGAGCGTGCGCCGGTATTTTTATTTAGGAGAGGTCAAATTGGAGTTCACCTTTTCGCGCGGGGTACATTTTAAATGAATCATTTTTTTTATTTTGTTTTTTCGTTGTATTTTTATTGCCTCACACCGGTCTGATCATAGCAAGTTTATTATCTAGATTTTGGTTAAATATTTAGTAACCCGTTAATTTATTAAAGAAAGTCCCGACGAGAGTTTAGTTTAAAAACGAAGTCTCTTAAAAACTAAACTAGTAAGTGGTTAAAATCTAAAAAAAAAGTTTGTACTTTGGTGAAATTAAATAATCATATTAGTCTAATAATATTTGATTTCAAATGCGATAAAAAATTGCCGTCCATCTAACATTTGTGCAAGAATAGCTTGTTTCTTACATAACCTATTACTTAAAAGATTCTTTTACATACATTATCAGTAATTTATGAAAAGCTAATACATTTATCGAACGCCCACCTAAATATAGGTTAATATTAAAGACCACATGACAAAACATTTACGATATCAATCGATAAATGTACACCGTTATTAGTAATTGTTACTACAGTTAGATTACACGTTAGTAACAAGTTCGTAATATTTCATAGATATTACACATTTACATTGCGTCAGAATCGATCGAAAAATCGATAGTAAATGAAACATTTATTTTATGCCAGGACAGTAGCGCTCAAAAATCTACTACGACTAGAGAACCTCCTTTTTGAAGTAGGTTTAAAATCATCACTGGCTGGCATAATATAAATTAGCCATTTAGATAAAGAAATAAATATGTTATCGCTAATAAATCTGACTGCGATTTTACATCGAAATTAAAAAAGAATTGAATAATTTCTTGTTGCCCTTACATTATCTCCCAAAACCAGAGATAACAATTGTTTGTACAGGTGCTTCGGTAGTGAAAACCCACGGGTGTAGCAGTAATAAATTAATAGTCTATTGAAATTATATACTTTGTTAGGTAAATACATTTGAAAGGTGCGCAAAGCTTTCATCGCAACGTTTGAGCACTCTTTCGTTTCCATTGAAAAGATTGGGGACAAGTTGAGTTGTTTGCTGCGAACGGCTGCTTTCGATTTTTAATATACAACCACGCGTATTTATATCTACATAGCTGTTGCCCGCGACTCCGTCCGCGTGGAATTATAAAAAAACTTAATAAGTAGCCTATGTGTTCTTCCAGACTATGTACTACATCTATGCCAAATTTCAGCGAGATCCGTTGAGCCGTTCCGAAGATACTTTCAAACAAACATCCATCCATCCAAACTAACGCATTTAAATATTAATAAGAATTTTCCTTATTATTGTAAATAGGTAAATAGTTACAAATGCTGTAGACGTTACGTAAGGTAAATTAATTAAAAAAATATTTTTAAAATGCTCAAAAGAAAATGACAATCAGAGTCTAGGGAGGAAAGCAAACCTTTACGTAACAACGTGTTTTTTTACCAAAGAATTATTTAATGTGTTAAATGAATTTTGTTATCGGTGACGTACCTGAAATATTTTGGCATAAATTTGCTATCTATGGTCTAGAGGAAGACACGGTAACATTGTGAAGGGTGCTATTCTTAAATTGAAAAATAGCGTTAAAAAAGTCAAATATTAAATTTGAATTCTTTCTTTTCGTTTAAATTAAAAAGACTAAGTAACATTTGTTTTTTTGTTAATTAACATTAACCCAGTGATCCTGGAAAAAAGTACATTAATTTATACTTATTACACAATTCTTGGCCTCGACTCAAAGTAGACTCGACTTTCCAGGCCAGCCTTCGTCTGTTCTAAATAATAAGTCACGCTGTTGGCAACAAAAATTGACTTGTAAGAATAACTTTGAATATATTTTTACGTATTGATTTACAAAAGATTCTCAGTTAACCTTGAGAGACTGAGATATATGTACTAAAAGAAAAACTAATTTGTTACTTTACTTTTTTTGTACAAATGCGCTATATTTAAATTATCGACGTTAGGTCTGTTGTAAAAGCGAATTGTAAGTTTTTTTGCTGGAGTTGGTCAGTAAAGATCGCTCTTAGTGTATACTTAGTATGAGAATGGTAAGGGACGATTTACGTAAACGACGTGTGAATTTAGAATTCAATTTTAGACCCCTATTAGTAAAAGAAGTGTATGGCTTATGATAACGTCAATAATCGACCCGTTTGCTAGTCTTATCATGGGTCTCATCTGTGAGGACACCTGTATAAAAACATGGTCATTTCTTTCATTCTCTTTGATTAAAAAGAGATGACAATATGTTTCACAGTTCAGCAGTAGAAAATTAAGTTATGAAATGTGCATATTTCAATGCGAACAGTTCTACAGACCGCCGAAGAGCTGTTCCCTTGAATTGTAAAACAAACAATTGACAGTTGTTCCAAGTAACAATACCATTCTTCACTGTATGTTTACTGGCAGTGCTAATGACCTGTTTTTATTTTATTTTTCTTTATATTGATTAATTAAATACAACATTGTTAATCGAATAAAACTATTAACCGCTACTTTGACCGCATGGTATTAAAAAAACTTAATAAGTAGCCTATGTGAACTTCCAGACTATGTTCAATACATTAATGTCAAATCAGCGAGATCCGTTGAGTCGTTCCGGAGATTATTTTAAACAAACATCCATCCATCTAATCATTCGCATTTATAATATTAGTAAGAAATTTTAGTTTGAATTACTTTACTCTCGATTTTCCTATTTTACTACTCGACAGACTCACGAAGATAAGGATTTAGTTGAAGTGATTTTTTTTTCGTTAACAAATAGTGTTTTTTAAACTTCTATATAATTTTTTACATTTTTTATTGAAACAAAGAGAACCCGCAGCCCAAGTACCCTGACCCAAACATGTTAGGGCAACGAGAGGGCGGCATAGAGCCGCCCAAAAAAAAAAAAAAGCTTCTATATCGCAATGGACTTTGTAAAGTTAATTGAAATGTCAATATAATACATTGCACTTTGTACTTTGCTCAGCCTTGTATTGACATTAAAACAATTGGGGCAAAGGTTATTGTCGTTGTTATTTATCGCAATCAACGATAACAATCACAATATATCGACAGTTACATTCAAACCTCATGTCTTTTGTTTGTTAATCTATATATATATAAGAAAGTCGTGTTAGTTACACTATTTATAACTCAAGAACGGCTTTACCGATATGGCAGAAAATTGGTGAGTAGGTAGCTATTTATTCATTTTTTTTTCGATTTTTTTTAACTTGTGCACATGCACAGTATGAAAATATTTTCCCCTTCCATGCATCCTCTCATCCGAAAAGTCCACTACCCATCCTTTCCTTATGAGAAAAGGGTGGAAAGGGAAAGTAGACTAAATTTTAGGTCTCCGGGACGCACACTCATCAGACGAAACGCGGAATTGCTTCCACTTGACGCCTGTCTTCTGTGTGGTCGTGGTATTACATAGGGCGAGCCTGGCCGATTCGTGCGAATATGTTAAAGCGGGCTCTACCACTGTTAAAATTTCGGAGCATATTATATGCAAACAAAATTGTTTGTTGGAAATCATTCCTCCTTATATTATTGAATAGAGTATAGATGAAGCATGTAATGTATAATAACATTGTAAATTGATCTTGTAATTTGCGGTTTAATAAAGAGATACGATTTTATACCATAGATTGGTCCGTGAATTAAAACCAATTTCTATTAATAGGCCCGGTAATTAGGTAATAGAAAAGTAAAAGGTTAATAACATACGTAGCAATCAATTCGCTCTACGTCATTTTTGAACGAGACCTATTGAATTTTGTTTTTTATTAGTAGACAATATTAACGAGGCAAAGGTCGCAATTTTCTTATATCGCTAGCAATTCTATTATTTAGAGTTACGCCTACCATATTAAAATATCCTTTTCTAGGCATAAATTACGTAATTTTTTAGACAGGAACTACATCATTTGGTGTTCGCATACGTAAAATAGTGTCAATTAATGTCATTTATCCAAATTAGCGGTTTTCCTACGTCAACATTATATTTAAACTTTGTACTACGTTACTGTAGAATTCCACTGCCGTGGTACTAGATTAGCTATATATTGTCATCTCTTTCATACTCTTTGACAAAACAGAGACCACAATAAGCATAATACATCCATACTAATATTATAAATGCAAATGTTTAGATGGATGGATGTTTGTTTGAAGTTATCTCCAGAACGGCAGAACGGATCCGGCTGAAATTTGGCATAGACGTAGAACATAATCTGGAAGAACACATAGGCTACTAATTAGATTTTTTTAAACCCGCGCGGACGACACGTCGCGGGAAGCAGCTAGACCAACCAATATATAAACGGGTATGACGACAGTGAAATACTACGGTTACATTGTATTTCGTTTAGTCCGAGTTATTTGATGCACTTACTATTTGAACTCGAACGTAATAGTAACTGTTTATGGAGCGATTAATATCTTATCAGTTGAGCTTCCGACATCTGCAAGTAAGATCGTTTCTTGCTATCTACGTAATAAGGTAGGAAATATAGATATTTATTATATTAAAATAGGTTTTTTGGAATAAAAATCTTACTAATATTATAAATGTGAATGTTTTGATGGATGTATGGATGTTTGAATTTATTGTTCGAACGAAGGAATAGATGTAGAACATAGTCTGGAAGAGCATATAGATTACTTATTAAGATTTATTTAATTTAATTTCGTGCGAACGGAGTAGCTGTCAATAGCTAGTTAATGTATAAATTTAAATGTTTAATTCAGTTTAGTATTTTGTTTTTTCCCGTCATATGATTTCTATTATCTTATGGTTTTTATTTTATGCTATTTGTATTATGACTTCTTAAATCTTAAATTAAAAAAAATATATCTTATTTTTTTTTTATTTCATTGTGTTTTGAAAATAACACTTGGTATCGGTGTGACAAACACACTCAGCGCCAAACCCAATGCGACCGTATAAAAAAAAACACTTTTTTTTTTGTTAAGATGTGTTTAAATACAAATATGTGTATTCTTTTGTTAATACACAGTGTTCTAAACACTGTGCTACAAAAAGATACTCATGGCGCTTAAGGTCTTAAATTATAATTAAAAATTAAATTAAAAGTGTTTAATTTTCGAGCACAGGCAAAGGTTATCGAAGGATCGACGTCCACGCCGACGTAAAACAAAACTCAAACCGGTTACAACAATGCCTATATCATACAAATTAATATTCAAAATGTGATTTGCTGGCTATAATCCAGATTATATCGGTGTACTCATCTATATAATACTAGCTGTCGCCCGCGACTCCGTCTGCGAGGAATTAACAAAAAAAAATCATTAGTAGCCTATGTGTTCTTCCAGACTATGTTGTAAATCCATACCAAATATCTTCGAAATCCGTTGAGCCCTTCTGGAGATACATTCAAACAAACGTCCATCCATCTATCTAAACATTCGCATTTATAATATTAGTAAGATAGAAAAGAGAAGTTAAAGAGTATAAACTACTTAAGCAGTAACTTTTGGTTTCCGAAACCAAAATCTCTGTATAAAATATATCATCATCCCTGTCATTATCTTTAACGAAACAGATATAACAAAATGTTTTAAACGATAACTTTGGTCTTAGAAACCCACGATTATTCATTCATTCCAAAATGATAAACTATGCTATCACAAAACTAGGTTATCGTTATTTCATAGATCTACATTTTGATTTTGTAACCGTTATCAGCAACATATTTTAGTTTAGTAAATTTTTTGATTTTAAAATCGAAATTTTGAAACTGCATAATTGGAATAAATTCCATGTTAATAAATTCGCGAAGTTTTAAACATTATAAGCAACACTATGTCCTTGTAATAAAGTATGAAATTGTTCGCAGGTGTTATGGAATACTACAATAGTTAACACAGGTATCTTCAACCATTAAATCATGGCAGTACTTCGCAATGTCGACAACCCTGCCAATAAGGCGACCGACTCTGTGACCTTGCGATACGCCGTTGCAGTACTCGCCGCTTGGGCGGCTGAATTAGGTAATATAACTTTTATAAATAATTATATTTTGTAACTATATTAATGTCTATGACTTAGTCCGCAAAAATAAAATATGTTCGTCCAGATTGTAAATACCTACTTTAAAAAATTGATCCTTTTAAACTATGATAAGTTCATTTGATCTTTTCATTCAAATTTTAACATTTATAATATTAGTAAGATTATAGATTCGTAGAAATAATTGCATTAACTGAAGTATTATCAATGTTAGAAAGTATTAAACATAGTTTGAATATCCACTTCCATTACGTATAATATATAGAAAAAGATGAGTAACAAAAAATGGTAAATATCCAAATAAGTTGCACCTTAAGCGAACGTATTTAATATTTTTATAATATTGTATAGAAAAGTTGCAATTATATAATAATTAATTGTTTTTCTCTTTCAACAGTTACGTATCCATTTGATTTGACAAAAACAAGACTACAAATTCAATCTGAGGTTGCCACCGCGAAGCAAGGCTTCAAGGTATGGTTTTATATAATTACATACTGTAATCAACTATTGGATTAAAATTGGCAATTACATTTGTTAAAGGCTATTTTTATTTTGTATATTGTAAGGTTGCGTTCGTAAAATAATGCGTTGTATTCAATTTAGTCGGCTTATAATTTTGTAATCAAATATGTTGCCAAATTGTATCGCTATACAACATTAAACACAAAAACAACGCTATTTGCTGACAATTTGTTGGCACTCCGCAGTACTGTAGGCTCCGAAAGGGAAATATTGGCTTGTTTGTTACAAACAAAACAACTGAAGATCATTTTATCCCACAATATTTGCTGTCTTTTATTAATCCATAGCATATAGATTTTCTTAACATTCTGTGAAGTCGATATCTGTTTAAACAAATCGTTATCGACCAAGCGCGTCTAAGCGTGTACTTTGACCTAAACATACGACCAATCGATTTATTAAAGGTCAAGATTCTTAGTACAAGGTGACGACAAACTGAGCTTGTGTACTTTAAATTCAATGGGTACGAACTTAAGTGAATGAATAGTTATTTGGAATTTATAAATTTTGAAATGATTACATTAATCTTTTTACCTAGCGGAAATATATACTTTATGTCATTAACGATAAGGTATGCTTTTTTTTGCAGCTTGAAAACATTGGTATGATCGGTACAGCTTCTAAGATAGTGAAGAACGAGGGAGTACTAAAACTGTGGAGTGGTCTGAGTCCGATGCTGCAGCGGCATGCCATCTATTCGGGCTGTCGGCTTATCTTCTACGAGAGGTTTCGTAACGCCTTCAAAGACAGTCAGGGCAACACCTCTCTCGTCGCGCAGTCCTTCTGTGAGCTATTTATATTTGATATTACGCTTTATAGACTTTAGCTCATGAATAGAAGTGTATATGTTAAAAGGTTATGAATGAAAAAAAAAACCTAACCAAACTACGTGTATTGTAGACAGTCTCGAACCAAATTTATTTTCTATTCTGTCTTGTTTGCTCTATATTACCTACTATATAAACGTTAAAATTATATAAATTTATAAAAAGAACACCAACCTCCATCAAGTGACGTCACCAGTCATATCACATGTGTAACGTCCACTCCACATCACAAAGTTTGTAGATGTGAAGTTATAAAGTTGGTAACATTGATAAGTCCGACAGGTGGTGCGTCCGCGGGCGCACTCTCGCAGCTGATCGCGTCTCCCACCGACCTAGTGAAGGTGCAGATGCAGGCGGAGGGACGCCGTCTGCTGCAGGGCAAACGGCCGCGCTTCTCCAACTGCCGGCAGGCCTACTCCATATTGTACTCCGAGAGCGGCATCAAGGGTTTCTGGAGAGGTAAAAAATTAAGAATCAAATACCAGATAGTATGTAATAATCGTAAACAAAAGATGTCAAAGCATTTACCCAATTCGTATTTTTCCAGATTTATTTATGAGGCGTAGTGTTTGCTTACTTTCACAGCCATAATAGTATTGTGAAACAATATGACAGATGTTCCTGTTGCTATTAACATTTCTTGTCTATCCGACGAGTATGTTTATTCAAGTTTTGTAAACTACGTCGGTTGATACGTGGATTGCATTATGGATTATACTTTAAGAATGTCTCCTAATGTTGCGTCTTCTGCGCCTCTGGTGCAATCAACGTTCAATGCTATTGATTCTTCACCAAAAATCGTAGTGACATGGAATGTGTTGTCTTGCAGGCGCTATCCCAAACGCGCAGCGAGCAGCGCTGGTAAATCTCGGTGACCTGGCGGCGTATGACTGGTGCAAGCGGATGTTGGTACGCGATATGGGCATGGCAGATTCTCCGCTAGTGCACACGCTGGCCGCCTTCGCAGCCGGCTTCGTCGCCGCAGTCATGGGCACACCCGCTGACGTCATGAAGACGCGCCTCATGAACCAGCCGGTGGGACCTGACGGCAGGTATGAAGGATACAACGCCCATTTGCATCTACACATAATTTTGAAGACTGAGAGATATTAAAAAAAATATTTTTGAATATTGCCAATCGCACAAGTCTTACGTTTTAATTTTGAATACGAAGTGATTCAGGATTTGAAATTTAAACAAAACATTCTACTTTATTAAGTGTGGATAGTCTGCAGACAATTTAACTAACTAATTAAAAAGGGACTAACCTATATGCATATATGTATATGCCACGTGATTCCCTCTGACCTATTGGTAACAGAACTAAGAACGCGTGGCTTGTACGTCAATGTTTTGATGCATTATTTGTAGCGGGGCGTAGTGGTATAGGTACCTACGAGCTAGAACTTCACGCGGTCGAGGTCAAATAACCGGGTCAAAGTCGCGGCCCGCGCACGCTCATTGACAATTGTCCTTTTCCTTTCGTTTTAGAATATTTCCTAGTCAACTTATCAAGGACATTTGATTCACAATCAATGCTAGTTCACATCTCATAATGATATTGTGTTATCTGTTGCGTAATAATTACCAAAACAAATTTACAATCGTTAATTTAAAATGTAGTACTGAGATTGATTCTTGGAAATTACTAGCAATACTTTCTCAATTACACTACGTTTACTTTAATATAAACATTTTTAGCATCTTTTATACTATAAGATATTATTTATGAATGGAAATATTATAGTATTATGATATTAGATTATCTAACAATTAGGTAATATCAATGACCTTAAAACGAAACAATGATGAAACCACCGCCACGCTAGTCTTTCACAGTAACGCCATCTTTTATCGATCTCGGTCAAAATTAGTTTTAGTGTAAAGTATTCAGAGTTATTACATAGGTGGCACTAAAATCGTATACTACAGTTATGTGTTTTGCATTATTTGTTTTTTTTTCTCAGGGGATTACTATACCGCGGTCTGGTCGATTGTGTCCGGCAATCAGTGAAGAATGAGGGCGTCTTATCATTGTACAAAGGATTCTTACCGACTTGGGTAAGAATGGGTCCGTGGGCGTTAGTCAATTGGATTGCCTTTGAAAATATTATGCTCGCTGTTGGGGGTAAGCCTTTCTGAAATGGATCGAAATAGTAACTAAAAATATTACATTACTACATTTGACGAGTTTCATAACAAAAACTAGTATTGGCATTTAACATGTTACGTTGTGTCAATTCATCATAATTTATTAATAAAGAACACTTCTTTTCTATGCTCGTTGGTTAAAGGTATCGTTTAAATCTGAATCGGCCTTGTCATCAACATACATAAAATATGTATGGGTCGTTTCAATTCAAAATAAGATACCTTGGAGGGAACGGTTTTTCACAGTTATCTTTTCAAAAGGTACTTATGTTTGTACTTACTGTTAACTTTTGCCCACTTTACAATAAATTTTGAAAAACGTGAGTAGGTAAAAAATCAAATGCAATAAATTTGAAAAGAAATCCTACTATATTGGAGTCAAACTGTAAATTAGAAAGTTAAAAATTTTCATTCAACTTTTAGTGGTCTTGGGGTTTTGTGAGCAATATTTGAATAAGTATTTTGGAATAAAGGCGTACGGAATAAATTTTTAGCATAGTCTGTGGTGTGTATTCGCTAATTGTCATTGTCAAATTGCATTGTCAAAGCGTATACAAGCTTGTGATTTTTGAAACTATGCATCGAATCGTTCGCCTTTTTATATAAGTATTTAGGAAAATATATCTGCAAAATATTTAAAAATATAAGTAAAATACTTATTCATGTTTAAATAAACTAAAAAGTTTTACCGTTATAAATTACGCGTAGAATGTGACTTGTAATTCTTTGTAAGCGTATTAAGTGGTAAAACATTTTTAATTTAAAACAGGAGACTCAAGATCGAATCTCGAAGTTTTTTAAACATTGACTAAATGCAATACATTAACCAATTAACCATGTAATTGTTGAATTTATAAATATTTATAATTTTCTACCGAATTTAGTAAATTGATTAACTTAAATGGCTTAAGTATTTAATAATTTTAATAGGAAAACTATTTTCAATTCGTCTGTATTTTTTATTTTATTTTATATCATTTAAAAATTCAAGGAACTATTTAACCATTAAAATTGGCTCTATAGTTAAAAGGTGATTGTAGACCAAAGTTTTAATATTAGAATAAAATTAAGTATTTAGCAACATGCATTTGGCTTAGGTTTGAATTGAACAAAATATGTTTATGGTAAACGACATATGGTTAGATGGAATCTTGTAAGGATAATAGATAAATTTATAGCACAAATTTTACAATTATATTTATAGAAGTATTTATAATGTTGTGTATTAATTGAGTATTATTTATTGAAAGACATTATTATATGAACTATTTATATTGTTACTTATCAAATATTTATAATGTTATAAAATTAAAATAAAGTTACCTAACTGTTTTTATCTTTTTTTTATCTCCAATATTTCTTTTTTCAACAACTTTTCTCATTACAATGTAATAGGGTTAAATCAGAGAGTTAAACATTATTAGTTAGAATAAATTGACGAGAATGGCGCGCTTTCATTATAAAGTGTCAGAATGATTAGTGAGGGGACATAGATGTTATCATGTAAGGCTAGTGTTGCGCCAGTAAACCGGTGCAGTGTCGGATTTTTTTTTAACATTACAAACTTTCCTTTAAATAAGAACCTTTTTCCATAATGTCCAAGTAAAGAGCTAGATAACTAACAAATAAATTAATTGACACATAATAGTATATCAAAAAAGTTTACATTAAACGCGATAGATGACATTTTGAAACAAGCCCTTAGTATAATCGCACAATCTTAAATTACACCAAAATACCAGTAGTAATTTTTTAAGCATACTGGTTTGGATTGTATTCTCCCGTTTATTGATTAAACATGTGTTAAGGTAAAATATTTCTAGGTTAAAATAAAACGCGCGAATACAATATTAAATTTATTAGTAAAAAATATTATACATCTTCCACAATATTGGAGAATTATAACTTAATTAATTAAATATTTGATTATCATAGATTATAGCACTTCCAATTTCTTATAAACATGCCTTCGTACTCGTCACTACAGCGAGAAGCGCAATACAATGGCCTCTAAATGCTTCGCGAACGCAAACACAAAAATGTCACTTATAGCGTTTACTTAGAGGCTATATTACTTTAACACCTCGAAATGTGAATAAAATCGTTTTGACTCTATTAATTATAGTAATTTTGTGATACATTACGATAACGAAAATAAATATCTACGATTCGATACGAGCACTCGTTCGTACAGTATCGTATTTCTCAATCTATTACACTAGCTAAGTACACCGACACGAGTGCGTCGTATCAACGTTAACGTTAGGGTAAATACAAATTAAAATAGCGCGACACACCAACACAACTTCAGTTTCCACTGCCGAAACATTTGTACAAAATATTATCTCTGCGGGGCGAGACAAAGTGCATTCGCTCCGAAGCGATTCCACGACAAACGTGGCGTCGGGGACCTAATTTTGGTAGTCTTTTTTTCCCCCAATCTTTTCTTATAAACAAAGAATGGGAAGGAGAGATGGATGCGGCAGAGAAGGTATGCATAGTAAGGTGAAAATTTTGCTTCCCCTTCTTTGTAGACTAAAGGTAAGCAATGAACATCCAAATGCTTGTCTATGGGCAGCGGCCTTTTCGCTTCTTGAGCGAATTTAAGTGACCGTTTACTTGTATGCCACCTTATACTACAAAAAATCTACGTTTCTTTGGAGGAATGAAAGAGATTACTATACTTGTACAAGTATTTCGAGAGTTGAATTCTAAATGTATTACAAAGTTGGCTATCGGCCGCGCTATTTCAATCTGGTCGATCTATACTACCGTATTAGTTTTTTTTTACTAATTTCGTCCTAATTTTAAAGATTCATATTGTATTATATTTAAGTTTAATTTTTTTTGTAGTATCATATTAATAGTGTAAAAATAAAATGTTAAAAAGTTAAAACCGAATTAAAACATCCAAATCAAAATACGAGCGTGTATTGTACTAAAAAACCTCGCTGTATGTATATACAGTTAAGGAAATTATTTTCCAACCCCGGTGAAATTACATTTGACGTTCACAATGCAATTAGGTCGAAATTTGTCATAGCATCATACAAACTTGCTAAATTGTGACAAACGATATTCGATCGTAAGTGGGAAGCGAATTTAATTATTTGACTGTAAATATACTAGCCATAACAATGCCAATATAAAATCTTTCGATTGAGTTAGTATATTGGGGGCCTTTACATATTGTGCGTAACGCAAACCATCGGATGCCTAAATCTAAAAAGAGCTAAGCTTTTAAGACGCTATACGCGACATATCAGTTTTCTACACGACTATGGTACCAGATTATATACGTTATATAAATATATGTATACATATATATTTACCTGATTGTTGTGAAAATAAAATTGAAACAAACTTAGACCTATATACTTAACTATAATGTAAATGGTAAATATTTAGAAAATGAGCATTATAAGCTAATATGTCGATAAATAACAGTCGTGTGTTTGAAATTAAAATCACATTATTGTAAAAAACCACGAGGACGCAGTTCAGCAAATACCACTGAATTGATCCCAATTATATGTTTAAAAAACACTAAGCATTATTTCTTCGAATCTACAAATTATTCTGGCACGTTTTAGGACAAACAAAGACGTCCAATATAAATGTCACGCTAAAAAAATAAAAAGATTTAAATATATAGATAGGCCTCAAGTACGATGATATATTTAATTTTTAACTGAAAAGGGAAAAAATTGCCCTCACAAAAATGTAAATTATAGATATAAAACACAAATTATAGTATAAAAACCTATCTATGTATTAAAATCTTTTGAAAATAATATAAATTCGTCACATAGCCACGTATAAATGATAGACACGGCACGTATGTAAATTTTGTACTACCATATAGTTGTATCGTTGCTAAAATCACTCATATCACGCACGTCATACGGGCCATTGTGGCGTGTGACGCGAATTTCAAGCTTCTGCTCAAAATTAATCATCTTGTTATCAGCTGTAGGACATGAAGCACCATAAAAACACGTCAAAAACATTACATATAAAATCATACTCCGGTCATACCTCCATTGCGTCCTGATACACCGACGTCCGTTCTTCTCCAACTAAAATCTTAAGCGCTAAAAATGTATATATAAAAATTCGACCACTTGTACGAAAGGATAATTATTGCATAGTATACAATGGCGCTCGTCTGAAATGATATGTAAATATAGCATGGCATAACCCACTTTACTGAAATATAAGCCCCACACACCTCCGCTGCGGAATCTTTACCGATCCGCCGTAATTTCGATATTGTCGAATGCAACTGCCTGTTCTAACGCATAGATTTCAGTATAATTCTATCTCTTTCTTCGCGTACCGTCGGATCTGCTCCCAGGTCAGCCATAGTTTTGTTTGAGCATTTGTTTTGAATATGGATGTTGCAAACGACAAAATAAAAGCCACATTTTTTTTTAAATGGACATCAATTTTACAGAAAAAAATTCTTGTGATGTCCATTTCCACTAGTCAATGTACATTTGATCCAGCAGAATAAATCCGGTGGTGCTGGTACTTGCATTTCGCGGCGGAGGTGTGGTAAGGGTTCGTGTAGAGGAGATGTCAGAGAACACTGCCATGTTCTGTAAGTGTTGGGGGTCTGGGGGGCGAGCGCGGCGGTGCTGGGGGTGCGGGGGGCGCGGGGGGCACATAACACAAGTCAGCGGCGGTAGAGAGGCAAGAGGTGAGGTCGCACTGACACTATGAGTGGTACGCTGTTACATACGACGCCGGGAACAGTCCGCGCCGGTGTGCTATCTCGCCCTGGAATTAAATATTAAAATGTAAAAAAAACGTACAAAACAATTATTGGATATAATTGGATAAGCACTTTTATAATAGGTTTCCGAGTCTAAAATCCCTGTTTAAAATATATTGTTATCTGTATTATTAAAGATGAAAAACTGGATGATATATGTAATACAGAGATTTTGTTGTCAGAAACCCACAGTTAGATGCATTGCCTTTTTATATTGTAAGACGAGAACATCACACAATAAAATACTTCAAAAGTGTGGATGAGTTTGTATCAGTTTACAATCTCATTGGTACTCTAATGGAGAGAAATATATTAAATATATTACAAAAATACTCTAATAGCAGACACAAGAACATATTTAGCACTACGAAGTTATAATTGTTACTGACGTACTACAAGTAATTGTTTATTGTCTTAGGTCATGATATTACATTAATTGTTATCTGTGGTAATATTATCATTTTAGATACTTATATTCATGTGATTTAAGTAATAAAACTTTTCAATCCTTTTACAACCTATAAAAATATGTTCGACTCAGGCAAAGGGCTAAGAGCCGAATATCTGCAATGATATTTTTATAACTACATGTGTTTAGAGCCTTATATACTAACTCAGATAGCTATGGCCTAATAATTTGGGCTTGTTCGAGGATTTTAATTTCCTATCCATTTCAGTGCAATGTTTACTCCAACTTATCATAGCAACATACAAACGTATTAAATTGTAGTGCTAATTTTTTTATGCAATATTCGTTCCTAGTAAAACCTCGTTGAACTAAATTTAACTTAATTTTATTTCTTTGGTGTATTATTGCGATGTGTGTCTTACCTGCCACCAGTGCTGGTCGGAGCGGTCGGTGACTGTGATGACGTCACCGCGTCTGAACTCCAGCTCGCCCGCCTCCTGCGGCGTGAAGTCGTAAAGCGCCTGCACCAGCATCTGAGGATGCAGATAATAAAATACTGTTAAAAACGTATGTCTAAATTTACTAAGAAAAGGGATACCATATTACTGGCATAATGTAAACACTAACTAGCGCCTGTGAGCCAAAACAGTCCTAATGTCCTTCTAAAGGTACTGGCATAATATAATCCAGGCATTCAGTCTAATTTTGACTATACAAGCAAGACCTTGGTTAGACTTTAGTAAAAGAAATGCATTGTATCTCCTATATTTTGGGCGTATGACTGTTAAAGTCGGAGCCATAGACAACTCTACATATATGGATTATAAATCTTACTTCTTACTAATCTTACTAAGATTATAAATGCAAATGTTTGAATGGATGGACGGATGTTTGTTAGAAGGTATCTCCAAAACGGATTCATGGATCTTGCTGAAATTTGTCATAGACGTACAACATAGCCCATAGGCTACTAATTAGGTTTGTTATTAAATCCGCGCGGACAGTGTCGCGGGCGCCAACTAACATTTTATACATAAAATGGACATTGCACGAACATAAATAATATCGAGACATAAATGTTTCATTAACTATGTTATTGAGTGATATAAGTTTATTCAAATTAAATTTAATGATTATTGTTTATTTAAAGCCGACACAATGGCACATTGCAAAAGATAAGCACGACATTGGCTCACGCTTTGCGACTGTCTTGCTACCTAATAATACTACACACTATTATTAACATAATTAACTATTATAAATAGCCAATCAAAATATATTAATAACTATTTTTAAATATACATCTTTATTATGGTGTCACTGCCGTTCCGTACCTCATAGGAAAAAAACGGAATCCTTATAGGATCACTTTGTTGTCCGTCCGTCCGTCTGTCAAGACCCTTTTTTTTATTAAAACATGTAAATGTAATAGAGTGGTTAACAGAACATTTTAAATTGAGCAAACACAAGGAAAAGCCAGAAACATCGATGCTTCTTTATTCTGTGTATCGAAAACTAAAATAGAACCTAAGAAAACAAATAAAATTTTTACTTTCAAATTCGAATTCTATCAGTTTCTATATTACGTAACAAACTTTTTAAGGATGGATTACATGTGATCGCTAAATGGGGGTTTAACCCATCTCTGACTATCCAAACATCGAATGCGGGTTATTTTCGTTACTGTATCAGGGTCATAGATGTTTGCGAGGCGTACCATTCCACGCCGTTCGATGCTTTGTAAACTCGTAATATACGTGACCTGTGCGAATGGAATTTACTCTTGTACTTTATACAATCTAATTAAGTAATATTATACAAAAAAGACATTCAAAAGTCTGTTAATATGCGTTTAAGTAATCATACTAATATTAATACTAATGTTTGGATGGATGTTTGTTTGAAGGTAACTCCAGAAGATTGCATGGAACTCGCTAAAAGGCATAGATTCAAAACATAACGAAGAACACATAGGCAATTAAGTTTTCTTTACGCGAGGACGGAATCGCGGTCGACAGCTAGTCTTACTAATATTGTAAATGCGAATGTTTAGATGGATGGATGTTTGTTAGAAGGTGTCTCCAGAAACGATCTATCTATCTCTAGAACGTCTGATCAGATCTCGATGAAATTTGGCATACATTTAGAAGATAGTCTGGAAGAACACGTAGGCTACTAACTTTTTAATTCCGCGCAGACGGAGTCGCAACCGACAGCTAGTAAAAGATAAATGTTATTCCTATAGTGATTGTTTATAACAGAAAATTATAATTTCTTGATGTTTATCTAACCAAAGCCGTTTGTTCCTGGGAACGATAATTAATTTCTGCAAGAATCTCAAACAGATCTGATATACGAATAGATTTAAAATGACCATGTCTTAAAAATTAAAGTTCTTACAATAAAATATCGACAAGGATACATAAATCGTTTTTTATTCTTGTCGGGTTATTGTGGTTTTGTCACGCGTTGAACAATACAAATAAGATATTGTATTATTTTCTAGAATAAAATTGAACGGACTATAAAAGTGGTTTAGGTTTTATTTAGTGTATAAGAAATTCATTGATACAATTGCTTATTTCTTGTCTACTACAAAAACTGAAGCACAATGTAAAAAAAGTTACAACAAGAAGTATTGAGGATTTAGGTGCTTTAGTAAATTACGTAAATATAACGCTTTTGAAACAAACTTCAACAACATTCATTAAATGCATTGACATGCTTTAACAGTGGTAGAGCCCGCTTTAACATCTTCGCACGAATCGGCCCGGCTCGCCCGGTGAAATACCACGACTATACAGAAGACAAGCGTGAAGTGGAAGCAATTCCGCGTTTCGTCTGATGAGTGTGCGTCCCGGAGGCCTAATTTAATCTTCTTCCCCTTCCCATCTTTTTCTTTATAAGGAAAGGATGGGAAGTGGACTTTCCCGATGAGAGGATGCATGGAAAGGGAAGATATTTTCTCTCTGTGCATCCTCTCCTCCGTCGATTAAAGGAAGGCAACGCATATGCAATTGCGTATGTCTATGGGCAACGGTCACTTCGCTATTTCAGCGATTTCAGGTGGCCGCTCGCTCGTTTACCATCTTTTTTATAAAAAAAACATTATTTTTGAATGAAAATATTTGTCTTATGATACAGTAGGTGTCGCCCGCAACTACGTCTGTGCTATGTTCTACATTTGTGCAAAATTTCATGAAGATGTTATGCCGTTCTGGAGATACCTTCTACCTACCATCCATCTAAACTTTCGCATTTATAATATTAGTAAGATGAAAAACGTATATATAGGATGGTTCATTTACGTCTTTCATTCAACGAGTCCATTATATATTTAGTAGTTGTAAAGACAGAGCAAATATTAAATTACTTGCTATTGAATGGCCTAAAGCTCTAGTGTATTCATAATATGTTAACAAACGTTAACCTTTTATTATAAAAACTGCATAGCAACCTTACAGTTACAACCAATTTGACACTATACGCAATTTACTTATTACCTTTTTCAAAGTACTTAAATAATTTATTATCTTTTGGAATTCCCACATTACTATATAAAGGAAGGATGTCCAATACGACAATGAATGTTACTCAATAAATCCATTACAAACGAGAAAGCAGATTTTCTATAGGAGAATAAGGGCTACGAGTCGTTTATCTAGTTCTTACCAAGTTTGGTAACTCGGTGAAAACAAGGCTTAGGCTATACTTGGATATTTTGTTTCGAAAAACAACAGACATTAAAGTAAAATATACAAGCTTTGTTATTACTAATTTTCTTTAATTATTCGCAAATAATACTTAAAAGTTTTTTGGTACCTTATCATAATACGAACGTATTTCTACAGACCGATTTATTCACTGCTCCATTAAATATTGGAATTTAAGAAAGAAATGATAATTTATCAGCGTTTGTGAAAGTATTTGCTATGGACATAATATCTTTGGCCTCTATATTTTAAATTTACGACGAATCTGTCGCCTTCGACTCCGTCCATGCGGAATTAAAAAAACTTAATTAGTAGTCTATGTGTTCTTTTTACATCTATGCCAAATCAGAGATCGGTTGTGCTGCCCCGGAGATAACTTCTAACAAACATCCATCCATCACAAAATTTGGTGATTATTAATCAAAATAGTCAAAACGATTAGGAACTCATTTATTTTTAACCCTACTCTGAGTTACTTCGTATCTTTGGGCGTGTGTATAAGAAGCATATGTTTATCCTTACCTCTTCGGGTACAACATCTCGTAGTTTGACGTCTTGCAGGCGACTGACTGATGCGGTACGGTGGTAATCGACCAGCTCATTCAAAGAGTTGAACTTCACCACCCATAGGAAGAATTTGCTTGACGCGTCGCGCAGTACCTTGAAATGCTGAACACCGTCTGGACATCTAAGGAAGTAATAACATTAAAACCAATATAGTTTTGCTGTCTTCATGGAAGGAAACATTGGATTTATTTTGCAATACTTTTACCAAGAACATATTAAGCCTTTAAACGTTAAACGTAGTAACATAGACTCGAAAAGTGGTAGAGCCAGAGAAATGTCAGCAGTGTGTTTGTATGCATCATTTTTTTTATTCTGCAAGCTTACGCTATTGTGATAACAGGAAATTGAGTCATAAATAAGCGTGAAGTAAAACTTTATACCCTCATACATAAATTCGACAACATTACTTTAAATAAATAACCTATTTCATCTGTCTTTTTATGAAAAAAAAATTGCAAATTTTTCCGCGACTCCATCCGCGCGTAATTTAAAAAACTTTACAGGTAGCCTATTTGTTCTTCTAGATATTCTATATCTGTGTTAAATTTCATCAAGATCCGTTGAGCTGTTAGAGATACCTTCAAACAAACATCCATCCATCCAAACTTTCTCATGTATAATATTAGTAAGATTTTGATTAAATATCGTTCAAACGCTGCGTTTGATGAGTGTTTACAAAAACTGTGACGTCATCTGAATGACGTCGATAATTAATTACAAGATGAGTCACGCAAACAGTATACCCAATTTCCTCGAATATTAATAACAAGCGGTCAGCCAAACACTCGTCTCTTACCAAAAGTTACATGAGATATCCATTTTGAATATCAATAATAATGCTAACATTTTGCATATTTTATATTAAAGTAATAAAGCGGAGAAAGTTAATATGGTTTCGTAAAACTAATATTATAATAGCGAAATGAGACGAGTTTTTCTAGATAAAATTAGTTTGGAAATTTCCAAAATTTTGTAACCATTCCAAATATGTTTATGGTTGTTTTGGGTTCACGACAATAGTCCAATTGCGGTATTCGAAGGCTACTTTTAATTAGGTATATTAGTTTAATCCATTACTTCTACTACCAGAAGAGTTAGGTCGTAGATATTTTTATCGGATCGTCAATTTTCTTAAACACATAATTTTTTATGTTATGCTACTTACAAAAACCTAGACTTGTTAAGCTTTTGAATAATAGGAAAGATATTTTTCCAAATTAATTAAGTAATCATTTATACTAGGATAAGGAAATATTACGCAATTATTTTTATAGTAAGAACGTACCGTGTAACCTTATGAATAATCAATTCGCCACATTTTACATGTAACTACTACGTACGAATGTCCACTCCGGTGTTAAGGAAAGTGTAAACATTTAAAATTCATGGATATTTCAAACAATTGTAACATTACGAAAAATACATTTATTGATGTGAATAATTGTACAGATGATAACAATTTTTTGGGTAACGCTTCAAAATTTCATCATATTAACTATACCAAATAGATTTACTTATATCCATTACCCAAGATAATAAAATTTATAATTTAAAGTGTAGAAAAAGCGGGAGAGGCGTTTCTGGATCATACCAGGGTAAAGGCAAATTTTTAGTTGCTCAGAAATACGCTGTTTATTCATGTATAGAAAAATTTATTTACAATGGAGTTAATACAGAAACCATCTGGAATACATAACCTAAAAGATGGTGAAAACCGTATTTTAATCCGTTTCATACTTTAGAAGTTTTGACTTAAACAGCGGACACGAAAAGCGACTTTCATTTATAAGATTTAAAGATGTCGAATTTACAAATAAACGTTATTTAAGTTTATTAAGATACTAGCTGTCGCCCGCGACTCTGTCACGCGGAATTAAAAAAAAAACGTTGGTCGCAGCGTAATGCTATATAGCCTAAAGTCCTTCTCTATATATAGACTATCCAACAAAAAAGAATTTTCAAATCGGACCAGCTCCTGAGATTGACGCGTTTAAACAAACAAACTCTTCCGCTTTATAATATTAGTATAGATAAGCATTTATTAAGAAATAAAATTAAGAATAATTCTAAAAAGTGATAAATATTAACATAAGACAGTGAAACGATACGCTTATGGTTGTTTGTCGAACTGTCATCAGTTCATTAACTTTCTAAATACTTTGCAAATAAACTAAACTCAAAGTCAATATTAGTATGACTGACAGTATTTATAAACGAGTATGCGATAGTTTAAAACTGGTTCTATACACAATCCCCACTTCGACTGATTCATACTGTTTTAGAACAAACTCGTTTAAAATCATACAAGAAATAGATTTAAAGTACAAAAAATTAGTTTCTTAATCAGCACATACACGATGAATGACTAACGATTCTGTTGAACAAATCACATCGACCTGTAAGTCACGATTAGCTTGGGTATCCACTGACCAAACACAGATGCAACAAAAATAATCTTTTAGTTAATAGCAATGGAAAGTGAGCAATGAAAACCCACTTTAATGCAATATACACATTACTGAGTAGATATTTTTTAAAGATTTTGTTTTTTTATTATATAAAGTTTTATGGATTTTGAAACTGAAAAAGATTTTAGTAAAACGTCGGGTTTGTGCCGACAAAAAAAGTTAAAAGATAATTCAGACATAAAAAACCCCGTTGGCAAGATTCAATGACTCACATACCGAGTCGCGTTATTTACTTTTGTTATCAACCAATTTAACATCGAATAGTATTGCTTGCGACTAGGGTTGCCAGGTCTCCAAACCCAATAGCCGGACAGACTAGCCAGTTTGTCCGGACACCCTACATTATTGAGGACATTCTCGTTTGCGGTATTTAAAAAGACTAAGAAACTCCGGACAACCCGGACACGGTTTATTTTTGCCGGACATGCAATAAGAGCCTACCAATGTCCGGCTTTATCCGGACGCCTGGTAACGCTACTTGCGACGCATGGTCGCTCATTAGCGCATGCTATTTGACGATCAATTACCAACAACTGTGACACTTCAGTGGTCATGAACTCAAATCACACAACAAATAAGTATTCCACTTAGAATGGAACCAAGGAAATTATGATATTTTTAAATCATTGATTAAATTGTACAAGCAATTTATTTTAAAATTATGTTTATAGCTTATCAAAGAACACTAGAGGAATCATTTACCATCTCTCTTCAATCAATGTAAATTATCCCAGTCACCCCTGTCTGTAAGACTTGCTGTAAGTAATTTTTAAAAGCAGCAGTGATGATAATATAGTCGAACCTCTATAAGCGAGAGTCATTGTCCAGTCCCCACAGACCACCTTCATAAACAAGAAACCTCTATAAGCGAGAAACATATTGCAGTCCCTTCAATTATCTTTGAAACAAACTCTTCATAACAAATAAAAACTTCATAAACAACTTGTTATTGTAAGTAATCAGATGGCTATTTATATATACCAAAACAATTATTTTAACAACTACAAAAGTTCTCACATAGAAAAGTTAAGATAATATGTCAACATGATAAACACTTTATCAGTTGTTTCCAACAAATTATTTGTCATCTGTATTCTTAGTGACTATTGACTGGATGTCATGATAACAATGATTAATATACTTTGGGTTTCTTCTATTCTTTTCCAGTCTGTATTAATATTAAATTGCTAACAATGGTTGCATATCTAGCAACTTACTCCACATATTTTGTTTAAATCATGAACAAAACACTACAAAAGTATAAAATATATATCACTTTAGTTTACTTGGCGAATTATGTGACAAAAAGTATTCTGAACTTCAAATAATGAATTAATCACAAATTATTTTGTATTTTCCCACAGGAATTAGTAACAACTTGCTTTATTATATTCACTGCTATACACTTTATAAGTCATAATTTTAAAATAAGACTTTGGAGGACTTTTAAAGCCATTAACATATGGTGAAGTCATTCAGTAAATCCAACTAATATTATAAACGCAAATATTTGGAGGGATGGATGGATGTTTTTAGGAATCTCTAGAAGAGCTGCATAGATCTCGCTGTACACATAGATTTAGTACATAATCAATTACTTCTGGAGCAAATGAGATTAAATATCAAAATGTTTTATCAAAAGCGTAAAGTTGGAGACGAAACTTGATCAATTACACATTACTTTAATCAATTAATATTGCCATGTTTTCAATCCATGGCAGAGATATTGCGGTTGGAATATAATTACTTTTATAACTTTCCTACAAATGTTGTTATCAATAAAGCTGTTTTCATAAGAGGACTATCTATACACATGTACAAATACATAACAATATTTTCCTTGGTTTCATAACAGTATTTCACAATTAAACATAATTATATGGGAATGTAAAATCTGATGGTTATTATATCTGACAATGAAGTATTGATAATGTCACTGGACCCTACTCTTTGCCTATCTTTTGTTTTCTTTTTTGTTATTCCTATAACTGAAATGCTGACACTGGCAACTTTTTCATTTCTAATATTACTATCTTAATTAATTAGCTGGCTTGTTTTGAAAAAAAAAAAAATAGGTACTCTTCCTATACACCGTTTTAACTGTGTAAAGCTAAAATTAACAATACTATATTAATATAACAATGACCACACCTTATAATTTCATTGTTCTAATTTTAGTTAATTGCTTAAGGCCCTACTCGCACAAAGTTAGATAATTGTTATGTCACAGGTCACACTTCAGCTAATTTGAAGCTAATTAAATTAAAAGCTAGTGACAAAGCATTCGCAATAAGCACATGTCACTTGTATGAAATTATTACAAAACACTACTACTATTTATACTAAGTACTACAAAAGACATGTTTGAAATGGATGACAATGATATTATAGCCATATTATTATCATTTAACCATATGATCTTCTTACTAATATTATTGACTTGTATGTTTGGATGGATGGATGTATGTTTGAAGATATCTCCAGAATGGCTGAAAGGATTTCACTGAAATTTGGCATAGCTGTAGAACATAGCCTGGAAAAACACACAGGCTACTAATTAAGTTTTTTTTAAACTGCGTGACAGAGTTGTGGTCGACAGCTGGTATATGATTGTTTATATTTCTACTAATTTAACACGTTGACGGACAATTGCGGCTATAGCCGTCAAAGCGAAGTTCACAATGTGGCATGACTGCTATAGCCGTCCAAAACGAAACCGTCGTTTTTAGACACTACGGCTATAGCAGCACAAATGTGCACTTACTGGCGTATACGTAGAAGCATAGTGTCGTGTTTTGAAAACATCTTTTTAGGTTGAAGTTCATATTTCACCTGTTATACGAGTTGCAGATTCAGTATGCACGTGGTTGTGAAGGGAGTAGTATTTTTGTTTGATTAAGAACTAACATTTCGTGTAAAACTCCCAAAAATACTTTGTTGCATACAAAAATTGCTTGTTTGAACCATTAAACCTGTCATTTACGTTTTTAAATTTTTGCTGTTATAGCCGCCATCGTCCTATCACTTAGTGTATAGAGTCCGCTGGCGCCATGACGGTTATAGCCGCAACCTAATTAAAGGTACTAAATTAATCAAAATTAAGTTTATTTAAGCAGAAAGAGTAAAACTATACTTCTAACATTCTAAAAATCACAAAAACATATAGTGTCAATTTTCGAACTTCGCTTGTTGAACGAATTGACGGACGTCAACGTGTTAACATATTAAAATTAAGTTCATTTTAGAAGAAATTAATCCATACCTGAATTAACATTATTTCATGGGTATCCCTATCCATCATATCATGTTTTGATATTTGAAAACTTAAATATAAATAAGGGTGATTAAGGTGTTTTATGTAAATAAATAAATGACAAGGCAGACAAAATTAGATATAATGTACTTACTTTACAGATAAAGAGAAGTCACCAGGGCTTGATTCACTGATCCTAATGAGAAATCCTCCTTCTGGTTTATTTGCTAAGAGTTTTTCTGCATCTGCTCTTGTAATTCTACCATAATACCAACTGAAAAATGTACTTTTAGGTTAAAAATGTATTGCAATCCACATCAATAAGAAAATTCGTATTACAGGTTAACAAAATTGACATCCCGGTAATTTAATTCAAAAGTCATGTTTACGTATTTATACCAAAAAATCCCGGCAATTTCAAGTAGTTGGAAGTTACTGCCGAGTTAACTTTTTAAATGTAACATTGGTTACATTTACGCAAAGGGTTAAAAACAGCAGTTTATATTTGCACACGTACCTATGGCTTTTCATTTGTATGTAGTTACTAGGAATAAGTCCTTCTTTGCCGTCTAACTCAGCCCTGTACCAATTCATATCGTCCTCCATGTTTAGTATCTGCAACAACAAAAATTCTAGAAAAAATCCGACACCTTCTATTAGAGGACTTATTCACAAGTGTTTATAAAATTCAAACCATACTTTGAGTACTTGATTTTTCTTAAAACTCAGCTCATCATCAGCAGTTGCAGTGAAATCGTGTTTTGCTATAGCCTCCATGTTCAAATTAGGCACTTCACTGAAATGTCACTGGATACCAAAATAACTCACAAAGTATATCACTTGACTACAGCACTTGAGGTCAGGGAAGTAACGTAATCATAATGCATGTATTTTTAATGAATAACTTTAACCTCAGGATTAAACGAAAATACGCGAAACAATTTTATATGAACTCTGTCTACACATCAGTCAAGTCACACACACACTATCACCAGGGTTGCCATTGCCAGAGATCTTATAAAATAAAATTCTAACATAAAGTTATAAGTCAATTTCTATCTCACATTTACATTTTATTGCAATTTATATTTTTGGTTTCTTTTCAGTTATTTAATAACTGAATAGCAACAGTTGCATCGATTTATAACCATCGCTGCACATGATTAATTTAGCCCATTCTTAGTAAACAGTCGACATTTTAATAACGAAATAAAACCACTTCTACGTTGCGTAAATGGTTAAATTTTGTAAAATGTTGTATCTACAATTCTATAAATGTAGTGATTAGTTATATAAGAACTGCAATATTACTGTATAATTAATTTAATGTTCTTTTGCTCCATAGCCATTTTACCGATTTTTTATGCATTGTTAAAGACATCACTACGAAAAAAACTACAACGTGTCAAAGTCATATTGACAGTTCTTTTATGTCCATTCGCCTCCCAGTGGCATTACACGCGTAAGTTATTTTTCAAATCTCTATTAAATATAGAAATCTTTTATCGTTTTTCCTACACGAAACCAACGATGAGTTGTACAAATTCTTCTTTTAACAAAAAGTAATATATTTTTGGTACATTTATCTTTGTTATGGTGTTAGTAAACCCGGTGTTCACGAATATTTGGTTTTCAGGTTTAGTCGTTACTCCAATAAACGCAACGATGTCGGGAGGATTAGATGTCTTAGCCCTCAACGAGGAAGATGTCACTAAAATGCTTGCAGCAACAACCCATCTTGGGTCAGAAAATGTCAACTTTCAGGTTAGTTTTGTTTATACTCGTGGTTAACTTAAATTATATTTGTATGATGATAAGAGAATCCGTTCCATTATATCATCCGAATTTTTTGAGGATCAATTCTCCCAACTGAAAACCCCATGTGATAATCATAAATTTTGAAATAGCGCCATATTTTTAACAACTATGTATTGTTTTTGTAGATGGAAGCGTATGTCTACAAGCGCCGTGCGGATGGTACCCACGTGATCAATCTGCGCCGCACATGGGAGAAGCTCGTTTTAGCCGCTCGTGCTGTCGTTGCTATTGAGAACCCAGCTGATGTGTTCGTCATCTCGTCCCGACCTTTCGGGCAGCGCGCTGTACTCAAGTTCGCAGCACACACTGGTGCCACCCCTATTGCTGGACGTTTCACTCCTGGTGCCTTCACCAATCAGGTTAGCTATGTGTTCCTTATTTTAGTACATGTAATGAATGAGAGGTTAATCTACAATCTGATTGAAATAGAGAATTACGATTATCATTATTGTATGGATTAACTGTGGATAAGTTTTTATAATATTTAAATGATGACAAACAAACTAAGGAACCACTGATTTCTTTTAAAAGAATAAATGATTAATACTTATCTGACCATCATAAATACTTTCTGTAACCTAACATTATTTTGTACAAACCTAATGAGATTATCTTTACAGATCCAAGCTGCCTTCAGGGAGCCACGTCTGCTCATTGTACTGGACCCTGCTCAGGACCACCAGCCTATCACTGAGGCTTCCTATGTCAACATTCCAGTCATTGCCTTCTGCAATACTGACTCTCCACTCAGATTCGTTGACATTGCCATTCCATGCAACACCAAGGTAAATATCACATTAGTTTATAAAGAAACCCTTTTTCCGTGTCCCCCCTCCCCTTTAAAGGTAGAAGCAAGCAATGCATCTGATAACACATGTCAATGGGCAGAAGTCATTTCGCTATTTGGACAATTGGCGGCTACATGCTTGTTTGCCACTTTATTCTAGAAAAATGTGTAAAATTAAAAGTTTTTTTGAGAATTATGCATTGCCCTTATTCAATGCCATAAAATTGTATCATTTCAGTCATCACACTCAATCGGTTTAATGTGGTGGCTTTTGGCCCGTGAAGTTCTGCGTCTGCGTGGTGTACTCCCTCGTGACCAGCGCTGGGATGTTGTAGTGGATCTTTTCTTCTACCGTGATCCTGAAGAAAGTGAGAAGGAAGAACAACAGGCTAAGGAACAGGTAAGATTAAAAAAATAGATTACTGGTAATTATTAAAAGTACTCACCTGTCACAAAAGTGAATTGTTCACAAAGTTGTCTGAAGTGTGTTGGCATTTATAACAAGTTTTTTTTTTATTTAGGCTGTTGTTGCGGCCAAGCCTGATGTACCACCACCAGTGCATGAGGACTGGAATGAAACTGTAGAGCCTGTGGTATCCTGGGCTGAGGAATCTGCACCAGCTGCAGCTCCCGCCTTCGGAGTAGCCGCAGTACAGGAAGACTGGGTTGCCCAGGTAAATGACGTGCTTTTATTGCAAGCTTATTGTTTATGCTGTTGTTTTTTATGTTTGAACATTTTAAGTAAAAACACCAAAGGATCCTTTCTAAAAACTTGAATTTTCTTCGAAACCCTGTTCATAAAATTTCTAACACAATTTAATATGAATAAATATTATTGGGACATTGTAGTAGCATGGAATATGTTAAAGAATAATTTTAAGTGTTTGATCTTAAGTAACAGAGTAATCAATGTAATGTTTCGTAATAGGTGCAAGACGAGTGGGGCGCGAGTGGCGCTCCGCCCGCGGCTACGCCCGCTGCCCCCGCAGCCGCCGCCACGCCGTCTTGGGGAGGATCCGCACAGGACTGGACCGCCTCATAATCGACAACATCTGTTGCGCTAAATAAACTAATTAAAAACTATGTGTTTGTTTTATTTATAAAAATCAAATGTTATGATTGTTATGAATAAATTAAGTATATTAGCAACTCGCTATCGTCCGCGATTCTATATCTATGGTTCTAATAAACTAAAGTTGCCTGTGTTCTTCCAGACTATATTCTACATCTGTGCCTAAATTCATCGAGATCTATTGAATTGTTCTGTTGATACCTACTAAAAACATCCATACATCGAAGCTCGCATTTATAAGTAACATAAGGTTATGGGTTTCGACCCTTTAGTAGTGTAGTAAATTAAAATTGGAGATGGTCGAAAACTGCATAAGATTTGATTGACTAAGCTATATCATTAACTTATCTAGGTTCGACTTATACTATTTGGCTTTTGTACATAAGTACAACTAGACAAAAAATAATTGTTGGTATGGAAAACAGCGACGCTTTAGTTTTTTTTTTATAAAAATTTTTTTTGCATAAGTATAGAAATGTATTTCACAGCACGTCCAAAACGGCAACTTGTAATGGTATGATTATTCATAACGGATTTATCCTTTGTAGCAGAGACGAGAGTTATTCGTAGTGCACGACCTTTGTTGCGCTTTTATGTTATGTTAATTTTGCCATAATTAATAATTTTTGAAGAATTCAGATTTCAGAATTGCTATTTTTAATGAATAGGGACCAATTTTTTCCATATACTCGAAACAAATTCCTTATCTATGATGGACTGAGAGTTTAGTCCTTGAGTAAATCGATTCATAAGATTATTTTTTATTTATATACTTCCCATAATGACTACTTGATATGTGAGCCACTTATAGTATATAGGAAATAATCTACGTACTAAATAATGCACCAAGATATCAAATTATTGAATTTGGGTTACGAAACGTTGCCTAACTCGCCAACAGACATTCTGGCATTGAAGCAATTAATATCGGTATCTCACAAAGGTCCGATGATGTTTGAAAATCGTCAACTATGTTACCACGGACGTCTAATGCACTATGTACAGCAAATACATTGTCATCCCTATAGATTCTCTTTGATAAAACAAAGACTACAATATTAATACTTGCAGTCGAAACCCAATTATGCAGCAATCTGTCTACTGTTTGTAAGGCATTCCGTACATAGGTAATGTTGCAGTTACGTATCATATTGGTAGACAAGAATTAGGCCACTACTATTGAAACCAGAATACTCAATTATAGGTATAATGGGAAGATCTGTTTGTAATGGTTAAACTTTGAGCTAAATGACGCGATTTTAATAGTTCTTTCAACATTAGAAAGCTATTAGGGTAACAGGCTTAGATGATAGTAATCGAGCTTAGTTATTTCTCATAGTTTGCAGTCTGTCCCTTGTGTAACTTTAATTAGTCCCTTATTTATTAGACTCTATTATTACTGTTGGAATTATTTTAGCCAATCTATAAAAGTTATTTCAGATAACTGTCCCAATCAGAGACGATAAGTGGTTTCTTTTAATGTAGATTTAGTATTAAAAATCTACACTTAAAGTAGAGCATTGACTAATTCACCATAGCCAACGTAGGAAGTATGTTTTATTGAAATTTAGATATTAATAGAAAAAAAACAGTTATCGATAACGTTAATTTATTAATAAACTTGAAGTGTTTAAGATGAAATATTTTGATTAGTTTCAAGAGTACCATACAAATGTATTCGATATAAACACGTGTATCTTTCATTGCCCTGGTTAGAGAGTACTGTGAACGCAACGCGTCTGACTGGAATCCTGGCGGTTAGCGGGAAGTATTGTTTGGCGGGCCTGTTGTATGTGTAGGCACCGCGCGCGCTCTCCACCCTTGTGGTATTGTCAAGAATACTCTGTATGCATATTTTAATATGATTAATGTAATACAGCAAATATAAATTCACGGTATTATTTTGTATGTTAGTTTCTTTTACACTTAAATCCGTAAAAAGGTATCTACTTATTGTCCGGAAAAGTAGAAATTCCAAACTTTTATCAATCCCAAATAAACTATATAGTAAGCTGCTATAATTAGAAAATGTAAAAATATTACTTGAGATAGTATTCATAATTCTTATTTTCTTAGTGAAATTAACTTTTAAAGATTTAAATTCTAACTCGGGAAATTAGTTTTATAAAAACAAAATAATCCAGATGGCATAAAAGTGAAAGAAAAGAACCGTTTAATTAATTTAAAATCCAAGTACCACTGTCTCTTAACTAATCAAAGAGATAAGCATTTTATTATGTCCCAATACTTTCATCTCAGTTGAAAAGTTCAAGATTTAATCTTGACAATGTCGTTGAACTTTCTCAAATTATTTTTAATTCAAAACAC